TAAAATAGATGTACCTTTCAACAAAATAATATGGTATATGTTTTTGTCAAAGGCTTTATAAAGAGCCAAAACAGAGGCAGTTTTTACTCCTTTTCACTATTTCGTTTTTAATTTTGCTGGTTTCTACATTATTCATGTTCTCCTGTTAGTGACTGAAGAAGACCGAGCTCCCTTAAATCACTCCCTGTTGTCCAGTCTCCCCTCCTTATCAATCAGTTCATCAGGAATTTTAATTCCTCTTTTGGTTACAGTGTCACTTTAGAAATGCTTATTTCTGGTTATATCTAACTGTAGACAGTATCACTTCGGCAGTTTCAGACAGAAGGATTTCCTAGTAGTGAATTTAGATTATTCTACCATCAACTTCTCCAACTTGAAAAAAATATTTAACTACTACACACCTATTAGAATGGCCAAAATCTAGAACACCGACAACTCCAAATGCTGGTGAGGATGTGAAGCAGAAAACTCTGTCATTGTTGGTGGGAATGCAACATGGTGCAGCCACTTTGGAAGACGGTTGTTTTCTTACAAATTTAAACCTGCTCTTACTGTACGATCCAGTAATCATACTCCTTGGTGTTTACCCAAAGGAGTTGAAAATGCATGTCCACACAAAAACCTGCACACAAAAAAAGCTTATGGCTATTTATAGCAGCTTCATTCACAACTGCCAAAATTTGGGAGCAACCAAGATATCCTTCAGGAGCTGAATAGCTAAATAAACAGTAGTGCATCCAGACAATGGAATACAGGATTATTCAGTGTTAAAAAGAAATGAGCTGTCAAGCCATGAAAAGACATGGAAGAAACTTAAATGCATATCACTAAGTGAAAGAAGCCAATCTGAAGAAGCTGCATATGGTATCACTCTAACTATATGACATTCTGGCAAAGGCAAAACTATGGAGATAGTAAAAAGATCAGTGTTGTCTAAGGGCTAGGGGAAGGGAGGGATGAATAGGCAGAATAGGGAGGATTTTTAGCGAAGTGAAAATACTATGTACCTTACTACAATGATGGATACCATCGTTATACATTTATCCAAATTCACAGAATGTACAACACCAAGTGTGAACCCTTATCCCTTATGTAAACTATGGAATTTGGATGCTGCTGCTGATGTGTCAATGTAGGTTCATCAGCTGTAACAAATGCACCTCTCTGGTGGGGGAGGTTGATGGTGGTGCAGGCTGTTCATATGGGAATAGGGAGTATATGGGAACTCTCTCTACCTTTCTGTCAATTTTGCTGTGTATCTAAAACTGCTTAAAAAATAATATCTTAGGGTTGCAACCCTTTATGGGGCAGTGAAATCAATTTGCCAACTGGGACTAGTGTTAAAAATAAATGAAACAGGGTCAGGCACGGTGGCTCACGCCTGTAATCCCAGCACTTTGGGAGGCTGAGGCGGGTGGATCACCTGAGGTCAAGAGTTCGAGACCAGGCCAGGCGCAGTGGCTCACGCCTGTAATCCCAGCACTTTGGGAGGCCGAGACGGGAGGATCACGAGGTCAGGAGATCGAGACCATCCTGGCTAACACGGTGAAACCCCATCTCTACTAAAAATACAAAAAATTATCCGGGTGCGGTGGCGGGTGCCTGTAGTCCCAGCTACACGGGAGGCTGAGGCAGGAGAATGGCGTGAACCCGGGAGGTGGAGCTTGCAGTGAGCCAAGATTGCGCCATTGCACTCCAGCCTGGGCGACAGAGCAAGACTCCGTCTCAAAAAAAAAAAAAAAAAAAAGGGTTCGAGACCAAGCCTGGCCAACATGGTGAAACCCCGTCTCTACTAAAAATACAAAAATTAGCAGCGCATGATGGCGGGCACCTGTAATCCCAGCTACCTGGTAGGCTGAGGCAGGAGAATTGCTTGGACCCGAGAGGCGTAGGTTGCAGTGAGCTGAGATTGCACCACTGCATTCCAGCCTGGGCAACAGAGAGGGGCTCTGTCTCAAAAACAAAACAAACAAAAAACAGCCTATCTCAAACCCCTCCTGCTCTCAGGCACTAACGTATAATGTTACTTTATGTCAGAAACCAACCCCCCATGAACAATTTCTCCCTGGATTAACAATTTCTCATTCTTTAGGTCTTAGCTCAATGGCTACCCCTTCTCAGACAGGAACACACAGCACTTTACAACCTGTGGAAATTCTCTCACCTTTCCTGCATGGTACTAACCACGCGTGTAATTTTTTTTTTTTACAGCTCTATTGAGGTGTAATTTACATTACCATAAAATTCACCCATTGTAAGTATAAAACTCAATGACTATTTTTGTAAATGTATCTAAAGTTGCCACATCAGTTTTAGATACAATCCTGTTTTAGAACATTTCTATCACTCCACCAAATTCCCATGAGCTAATCTGCAAACGATCTCTGTTTCCACTCACATTTTTTTGTTGTAGTTGTTTTGTTTTTGAGACTGAGTCTCGCTCTGTTGCCCAGGCTGGAGTACAGTGGCGTGATCTCAGCTCACTGCAACCTCCACCTTCCAGATTCAAGCAATTCTCGTGCCACTGCACTCCAACCTGGGCAACAACACAAAACTCCATCTCAAAAAAAAAAGAAAAGAAAAATCGTAAAGCTCAGATCAAAATAATGAAATACTCATTTGCTTTTTTTGTTTTTTTTTGAGACAGAGTCTCACTCTATTGCCCAGGCTGGAATGCAGTGGCATGATCTCGGCTCACTGCAACCTCCGCCTCCTAGGTTCAAGTGATTCTCCTGCCTCAGCCTCCCAAGTAGCTGGGAATACAGGGGCCCGCCAGCATGCCCTGCTAATTTTTGTATTTTTAGTAGAGACGGGGTTTTGCTATGTTGGCCAGGCTGGTCTCGAACTCCTGACCTCAGGTGATCCACCTGCCTGTGCCTCCCACAGTGCTGGGATTACAGGCATGAGCCACTGTGCCTGGCCTATGTTTAACTTTTTAAGAAACTGCCAACTATATTTCAGATTGGTGGTACCAATTGGTATTCTGCTGTACCTACCAGCAATATATGAAAGCTAGTTTGTTTATTTATCTACATGATGATATTTGGGATTGTCTTTTTGATTTTTAAATGTCTACTCAACTCTTTTGCCCATTAAAAAAATGGAGTTGTCCTCTTGAGTTATAAGAGTTATTTTTATTTTCTACATACAAGTCTATTATAAGACACATGAGATTTGCAAATATTTCCTCCATGTCTGTGTCTGTGGCTGATCTTTTCATTTTCTTACGAAAATATCTTTTGAACCTCAAAGTTTTTCTTTTTTATATATTTTTTTGAGACAGGGTTTTTCACTCTGTGGCCCAGGCTGGAGTGCAGCAGTGCAATCATGGCTCACTGCAACCTCCGCCTCTTGGGTTCAAGCGATTCTTCCACCTCAGCCTTATTTATTTATTTATCTATTTATTTATTGAGATGGAGCCTCGCTCTATCACCCCCGCGGGAGTGCAGTGGCACCATCTCGGCTCACTGCAACCTCCACCACCCGGGTTCAAGAAATTCTCCTGCCTCAGCCTCCCGAGTAGATGGGATCACAGGCATGCACCACCATGCCCAGCTAATTTTTGTATTTTTAGTAGAGACAGGGTTTCACCATGTTGGCCAGGCTGGTCTCAAACTCCTGGCCTCAGGTGATCCGCCGCTCGGCCTCCCAAATTGTTGGGATTGCAGATTGAGCCACTGTGCCCAGCCCTCAGCCTCATTTAATCATCACAAGAAACTCTCTATCTTTAGTAGGTACAAAGAGATTACATTTTAAGGACGGAGATGGGAAATAAATTCCAAAGTTAGGACAAAGGCCAAAGTGGTATAATAAAAATTACCTAATTTATTTATTTATTTGGGACAGAGTCCTGCTCTGTTGCCGAGGATGGAGTGCAATGGCGCGATCTTGGCTTACTGCAACCTCGGTCTCCCGGGTTCAAGTGATTCTCGTGCCTTAGCCTCCCGAGTAGCTGGGATTACAGGTGCACCACCATGCCCAGCTAATTTTTGTATTTTCAGTAGAGATGAGGTTTCACTATATTGGCCAGGCTGGTCTAGAACTCCTGACCTTTAGTGATCTGCCCGCCTTGGCCTCCCAAAGTACTGGGATTACAGGCGTGAGTCACCGCGCTAGGAAAAAACAACAACAACAACAAAAAAAACAAACAAAAACTACCTAATTTAAACACTTAAGTGAGATGGCCCGCTCACCGAGGAACGTATGGTCGTTGGGTGGAATGGGAGGGGACTTATAAACCCCCCTCCCACCCACAGCTCCCATGTTTGACTTGAAATAAGTTAACTACGATGTGACTGCTTGACTGGTGTCCTCGTCGTTTTAGGGATGAGGGAGTGGGGCCATGAAGTGGGCAGGTAGAAGGGGAAGAATGGAGGCCGGCTCCCTGCAGGCTGTGGAGCGAGAGGTCCAGACTGAGGCAGGGGCTGAGGGACGGGGTCCTGAAGCTGAGACGGGATCGCAGCGGGGGCTACCAATTTCTCAGGGAGCCAAAGGACATCGGGCTGAACCCCATTCCACATCTCCCCCGATCCGCGACCCTTTCCCACCTGGTTACTCACCCGCTCTGACGGCTCCAGGTTTCCCTAGCCACAGTTACCGCCGCGGTCCCAGCGTTGCGAGGTTACCCGCCAATCTCAGAAGGCGGGACTCTGTGTCTGACTGACCTTTCTTTTCACCATTCAATTTCTTGTTCCGCTCAATTGTCCCCACCTCCTGAAGTCTGACCAATCAGAAGCACCGCCATTTTGACCTTGCACCAATGGAAAGACTTGGGACTCCCTCTGGGTTGGACTCAACGATTAAGGCGGGGAAGATGGGAGGAGAAAGGGGCGTGGATTCTTCGTCCCGCCCCTTCTTAAGGAGGCGGGCAGGGAGTACTGCCTCGGCTGCGGGCGAGACCTGCGGAAAGACGTGAGAATTGACCAATCAGAGCTCATCATGGTAGCCCAGTTAGCCAGTAGGACGCTGTGAAGGGGAAATGGGGCGGGGCGAGCGGGGTTGAGAGGACGGTAGGCGGCGGATGGGAGAGCTGGCGCAGCTACCCTGGTGGCGGTGGCTGAAGTGGCGGCGGCTGCGGCGGCTGCAACAGCTTCGGGCTCGGGGTTTTGGCGGCGGCGCCGGCGGGCTGGGCTGCGTGGTGCGGACCCCGGCGCGCGGTCCGGGTTGCTGGGGCGGCGCGTGTAAGAATCCGAGGGATGCGAGGACTTGGCCAGAGGGAGAGGGCAGGGATCAGGGTCAGAGGGCGCGGAGTAAGGGGTTGCGGCGCGACACTCTGGTGTGGGAGGTGGACTGAATGGGCCCAGAGAGGGCGCGGGGAAGTCTCCGCCGCGCTTCTCTCCGTCCAGCCCGGGCCGGGGCTTTGCACCCTCTCTCCTTGCCCCCGACTTCTTGGGACGACCCTCACGTGGGCGCCCAGCCAGGGGCTGGGAGCACGCGGAGCTGGAGCCAGCGCTCCTGCCTCCTTCTTGCTCCCTCCCTCGCTCTTCTCCCTGGCGCCCTCAGGTGACCCCGCAGGAGTCTCGTGCCCGGGTCAGGCTGCCCGAGCGGACAGCGGCATGGCAGCTGGCCCTCTTCCCCTAGGCCCTTTCCCCAGGGCTGGCCATTTGGGTCCTCTGTAGAGGCAGAAGCAAAGCCCGCGGAGGGAACACTGGACCAGGACTCAGGAGTCCCGGGTTCTAGCCCCGCTCCTGCACTGTGTGACCTTGGGCAAGTCTCTTCCCCTCTCTGGACCTCATTGTTGTCTCGCTGGACAAATGACGTGTTTGAATTCAAATCAGGGTACTGGTTCTAGTCGTAGGTGTATATAGGGTCATGGTTAAGCAGGAAGGTTCCCTGATTCAAACTACCTGGGTTGAAACTTATAAGAGGCAAGTTAACCACTCCAAGATTCAATTTCCTCATTCGTAAAGTGGGGATATTAGCTAAGATAGGATTTTTCAACAGCAGCTCAATTGACATTTTGAGCCACATAATCCCCCGACTCCACCCACCAGCAATCCCCTCACTCCCAAGTTGTGACAAAGATGTCTCCAGACATTCCTGATGTCCCCGTGGGGGCAAAAATCACCCCAGTTGAAAGCCAATGGGCAAAGACAATACAGGCAGGCAAGCAGTCATGTATTAAACAGTTAAACAACCGTGTCCAAGCGTTTGAATGCGAGGACTTTAATCTGTGGTGGCAGATATCATGAAAATTATGCATGAACCGCCCCCCCCGCCTCTTTTTTTTTTTTTTTTTTTTTTTTTTTTTTTTTTAGCCCATCATTAATGTTAGTATATTTTATGTGTGGCGCGCGACAGTTCTTCCAGCGTGGCCCGGGGAAGCCAAAATGTTGGACAGCCGTGAGTTAAAACAGAAACCACTAGCCATTATGATAATGGTAACATTAAGAAACCTCTTCTCTTTGAGTTAATAAATTCTCCTGCCTTCAAAGTAAATATGGGAGATAATTGTCAAAGCTGAGTAATGGATACAAGGAAGTCCACATATATATTCTCTGCACTTTTGAGTACGTTTGAAAATGTCTGTGGTAAAAAGTTAAACCAAAACGACAATACAACCATAATTCTTAAGACTGCCAAATAGTAGTGTCTCATCTGGGATTTCCTCTTCTGCCTCTCCACTGCTGAGATTTAAAAGCAAAATAAACCCCCAGATCTGGAGGAAACTTAAAAAAAAAAATCTCACAGGAAGTGTGCTGGGCAGAGAGCTACGGGCTTAGCGGCAAGCAGAACGGTGTTTACTTTCCCTGCCTTGTTTCAAAAAGTTGTACTGTTCCCTGTGGATGCACGCGGATTTGCTCAGAGTTGTTCCAGTGATTCGAGGAAGAAGTCAGTCGCTCAGTTGCCATTGACTAGGTCAGTTAGGAGGCAAAATGGGTTGATCCCAGAGCCCACTGCTTGAGGAAGGAACTTGCTGCTGTTTGCAAGTTCAAAGGTCTGCAGTCAGATCTGCTGAGTGTTTTTTTTTTGTTTTTTTTGGTCCGTCTCAGCGGAAACAGGAATGTGCATAAATAGGAGCTGTAACAGGCTAGCTTGGAGTGTTTTACTTATTTAGTTATTTTTAAATTTTTAGTTTATTTATTTTTTGAGATGAATTCTCGCTCTGTCGCCCAGGCTGGAGTGTAGTGGCATGATCTCAGCTCACTGCAACCTCTGCCTCCTGGGTTCAAGTGATTCTCCTGTCTCAGGCTCCCCAGTAGCTGGAATTACAGGCATGAACCACCCCAACTGGCTATTTTTTATATTTTTAGTAGAGACCAGGTTTTACCATGTTGGCCAGGCTGGTCTCGAATTCCTGACCTCAAGTGATCCACCTGCCTCGGCCTCTCAAGGTGCTGGGATTACAGGCATGAGCCACTGCACCCAGCTGCTCTGAGTGTTTTAAATTGAGAGTTAAGTGTGAGCATTTTTACTGTATTAAAAAATACTCATCAGTTAAAAAAAAATACTCTTTTCCCCTTCCTGGGACACCTAAATCTAAGAGAACAACTCCTATTTAAAAATGATATAAAAATGACACATTTTAGAAGTATGTTTCTAACTGTTCCTGAGAGGCTGCGTGGTAAAGCTGAAGTGAAAGATGTGTTTTAAATCTGTATATATGGGCAAGTACATATTGGTGATTGGAGCTAGATGCTGCCTAAATGCATGACCCAGACTTCGAGGAATTATAGTGTAATGGCTAGGAATACAGGTTTGGAGTCACACCATAGTTGAAAGCTTGGCTTTTTTTTAGCTGTGGGTCCTTGGGCAGGATACGTAATCTCTCTGTGCCTGAAGAACCCACCACCCCCATCCTGTAATGGGGGGATAATAGGCCTGCCTATCTCATGGGGCTATAAAAAATTTTCAGTTAACTTTTACTTATGAAGTGCTAGTAGGGTCCCTCATACATAGTAAGCACTCATTAAGTATTAACTATTATTATTATTATTATTATTATTTTGAGACGGAGTCTCGCTCTGTCGCCCACGCTGGAGTGCTGTGGCGATCTGGGCTCACTGCAAGCTCCGCCTCCCGGGTTAACGCCATTCTCCTGCCTCAGCTGGGACTAGAGCTGAGTCCTGTAGCTGGGACTACAGACGCCCGCCACTATGCCCGGCTAATTTTTTGTATTTTTAGTAGAGACGGGGTTTCATCGTGTTAGCCAGGATGGTCTGGATCTCCTGACCTCGTGATCCGCCCGCCTCGGCCTCCGAAAGTGCTGGGATTACAGGCGCGAGCCACCGTGCCCGGGCGAGTATTAACTATTATTTTAATGGTTGTATTTTTTGTCATTTTATTTTATTTTATTTTATTAGTTATTTATCTGAGATGGAGTCTGACTCTGTCGCCCAGGCTGCAGTACAGTGGCACCATCTCAGCTCACTGCAACCCCTGCCTCCCGGGTTCAAGTGATTCTCCTGCCTCAGCCTACAGAATAGCTGGGATTATAGGTGCATACCACCACACCCAGCTAATTTTTGTATCTTTAGTAGAGGCGGGGTTTCTCCATTTTGGCCAGGCTGGTCTTGAACTCCTGACCTCAAGTGATCCACCTGTCTCTGCCTCCCAAAGTGCTGGGATTACAGACGTAAGCCACCGCACCCGGCCTTTTATTTTATTTTATTTTATTTTATTTTTTAGAGACGGGGTCTTATTCTGTTGCCCAGGCTAGACTGCAGTGGTGTGATCATAGCTCACTATAACCTCCAACTCCTGGGCTCAAGTGTTTCCGCCACCTCAGCCTCCCAAGTAGCTAGGCCTAAAGGTGTATGTCATCATGCTCAGCTAATTTAAATTTTTTATTTTGTAGAGATGGAGTCTTGCTACCTTGCCCAGGCTGGTCTTGAACTGTTAGGCTCAAGCAGTTCTCCCACCTTGACCTCCCAAAGTGCTGGGATTACAAGTGGGAGCTACTGTGCCCAGCCTATTTTTTTCTTTAAAGTCTTTACAAAACTTACGAGTAAATGTAAAGAGAAGTGGAGGTAGAACATATTAGCCTTAATCTCACTCTCCAGACAGAATTACCCTTAACTTTTCAGTATTTGTTCTTGCAGGGTTCCCTCCTCCATATTTTAAGGCTATTATACTGTAATAGTTCTTTTATTCTATTTTTTAAAATTTATTTTATTTATTTATTTATTTTTTTGAGACAGAGTCTCACCCTGTCTCCCAGGCTGGACTACAGTGGCTTGATCTCGGCTCACTGCAACCTCTGCCTTCTGGGTTCAAGTAATTCTCCTGCCTCAGCTTTCTGAGTAGCTGGGATTACAGGCACGCGCCACCCCGCCCAGCTAATTTTCGTATTTTTAGTAGAGATGGATTTTCACCATGTTGACCAGGCTGGTCTCGAACTCCTAACCTCAAATGATCCACCCGCCTTGGCCTCCCAAAGTGCTGGGATTACAGGTGTCAGCCACTGCACCCGGCCTAATTCTTTTACTTTTTAAGAGACAGGGTCTCGCTCTGTTGCCCAAGCCAGAGTGCAATGGTGCAGTTGTAGCTCACTGTAGCCTTGAACTCCTGGGTTCAAGTGAGCCTCCTGAGTAGCTGGGACTACAGGTGCATGCCATCTGCCCAGCTAATTTTATTTATTTATTTATTTATTTTTGTATTTTAAATATTTATTTTATTTTTTTCTGTGCGTATGCTTACCCAACTGGCTTTTTTTTTTTTTTTTAATTTTTTATAGAGACAGGGTCTTGCTGTATTGCCCAAGCTGGTCTCAAATTCCTGGCCTTAATTGATCTTCCCACCACAGCCTTCCAAAATGCTGGGGTTACAGATGTGAGCCACCCCACCGGCCAATTTTTTTTAATTGAGATATAATTTACCATTTTATTATTATTTTTTAAATTAAGATATAATTTACCATTTTATTTAATTGAGATATAATTTACCATTTTATTATTTGTTTTGAGACAGGGTCTCTGTCACTTAAGCGGGAGTACAGTGGCACAATCTCTGCTCACTGCAGCCTCCACCTCCCGAGTTTAAGCAATTCTCATGCCTCAGTTTTCCCGAGTACCTGGGATTACAGGCACCCACCACCAACCCCAGCTAATTTTCTGTATTTTTAGTAGAGACAGGGTTTTGCTGTGTTGGCCAGGCTAGTCTTGAACTCCTGGCTCAAGTGATCCACCCACCTTGGCCTCCCAAAGTGCTGGGATTATAGGTGTGAGCCACTTCGCCTGACCCTAATTTACCATTTTAAAGAGTATACTTGAGTGGTTTTTATTCACGAGGTTGTGCAACCATCACCACTATCTAATTTCAGAATAGATTAATCACTCATGGCTGTATTTTAATAATTATCTTTTGTTTTTTTAATTCCCAAACCCTAGAAGATGCCTCTAATGGAGGAATTTCTGAGCAGCACCCCTGGCCCAGTGGCTTTGAAAGGGAGCTCAAACCAGAGACGATTTCAAGCCCTGGACATCATATCCTGAGGGCCACAGGAGAAGAGAACATGGCTGTGAGTTTGGATGACGACGTGCCACTCATCCTGACCTTGGACGAGGGTGGCAGTGCCCCACTGGCTCCCTCCAACGGCTTGGGCCAGGAAGAGCTACCTAGTAAAAGTAAGATGGTGGGGTGGGCTGCGGGGAGCCCAGCTTTTCTATTTCAGAGGCTGGGAGGTGATAAGCGCTTTGTGGTCTGATAGTTGGGGTGTGTAACTTGTTGCCTGGCCCCACGTTTGAGCCCCAAGTTCTGATACAGAAACTACTCCTGGGAGACTGTGGGTTTCTCCTTCCACACCCTCAGCTTGGCAGTGTTTCTGGGGGCCTAGCCGCCCTTCTTCATGCTCTCATTCCCTTCTCCACCTTTCTGCCTTGCACCTGAGGTACCTTGGCCTGCCTGTGGATGCTTGGCGGGGACCTCAGGCCAACCTGCTTTGGCTGCCTTCCCTGCCCCATTCCTTGTTAAAAAAAGAAACAGATTTCAACACCAGCCTCCGTCTGTCCCCATCGGAAACCGTTGGCAGGAAAGCAGCACTGCCCGTGTCTCTTTGCTCCATCTCAGTCCCCCCTTGCCCAGGACAGCGGGGAAGAGGGCGAGTGTTTTGTCATGATCCATTGATTTGAGGGCTTGGGGTTTTGCTTTGTCTTCCTCTGAACCAAAGCCTAGCACAAAGTGAACCCAAGTGCGGCAAGGAGCTTTAAATTTTTTTAATTTTAAATGTGTTTCTGGCAGAATGAGAGGCCTTGAAAACCTTTCTGGTTCTCATCCCGAAGCCATTTGTTTCAGTTGCTCAGGCCTTGGGCTCAGGAGAGGCTTAAAATAACTCGCCTTTTCTGGAGGGTCCTAAGACGATGGGAAACAGTGCTTTAGAGTCTGCTTAGCAAATGGATGTTCCACCATCTGCCAGTGCTCCCCAGCCAGGCAGAGATGTTTGGGGCCAAGGAGAGACGAGCCAGGCTCTCCTGCCTCCTTTGTCCAGGGAGAATTCGTTGAGTTGCAGGGAGTTCGGTGGCCTCCCCTGGGAACTGATGAAGGAGAGCAGTGTTTCCAGTGTTGTGAGTGTGGTGGGGAGCCCTGGCTGCCTAGAAACAGGCTTCTCTTTGCTTCACTGTGTTCACCCTCATCTAGGGTGGCAGAGCTGGGCTGCCCGGGAGGATTCGAACATAAACCTGATTCTTCCCCAAGTGCCACTCAGGGATGAGAAAGCAGTGGTTCCGATTTCAGACTGTCTGTTTGCTTTCTGAAATCCCTTTGCAAGGCTAGGCAGTATTATCTCTATTTTATAGAGGAGGAAACTATGGGTCAGAAAGGTCAAGTAACTTGTCTGAAGTCATACAGCCAGGAAATGGTTGAGCAGAGATTTGAACCCAGCATCATCTGACTCCAGAATTCCTTCCCCTTCTCCTCTTCCTTCCTTTATTTCTTCAGCTGCTCCTCCCTCTCCTTTTTTCTTCACCACCCTTAATAAATGTGAGCGCAGGCCAGGCGTGGTGGCTCCCACCTTTAATCCCAGCACTTTGGGAGGCCAAGGCAGGAAGATCACTTGAGCCCAGTGATTTTGAGTTCAAGAGCAACCTGGGCAACATAGCGAGACCTCGGCTGTGCAAAAAAATTAAAAACTTAGCCGGGTATGGTGGTGTATGCCTGTAGTCCCAGCTAATCAGGAGGCTGAGGTGGGAGAATCGCTTGAACCCAGGAATTCAAGGTTGCAGTGGGCTATGACTGCACCACTGCATTCCAGCCTGGGCAACAGAGCAAGACCCTGTCTCAAAAAAATAAAAGGTGAATACAGGCCTTTAGCATTTATATTATCTCCTCATATAACCCCAATATAGGGTTGTTATTATTATCTGTATTTTGCAAAGGAAGAGACAGGCTCAGAGAGGTTAAGTAACTTGTCCAAGGTCACACAGCTAGCAAGCAGTAAAGCCTGTCTGATCTTTCCTCCCACACCACAGTGGAAGGTGCTTTGGGGAAAGGGATGAAAGTGGTTGTGGCTCAGTTTCAGCTTTAGAGAGGAATGCTTCCTAGTGAGGGAGAGTGGTTGGCCTACTAAGGGTGTGACTTGTGTCTGGAAATAGCCAGGCTCAAGATTCTAAATGGGAGTCCTGGCTGTCATCGTGAGTGTCACTTTTAAGTCCCTCCAACGTGCCTGTTGTGATGGTGGGGTGTCCAGCTTTCCTGTGGGATGAAAGTGGCAAGAGAGCAACCCAGTCCTGTGTCAAGATCAGGTTTTGAACATCGATGAATAGGAAATAGGCCAGAGACACAATAAGACTCCCCTTGGCTAGACCACTAGCGAGGCTGCTTTTATCTTGGCAAAGTTAGTGGCTTACTTTGGTTTGTTTCTCAGGAATAAAGAAATGTATAACCAACTGCTGGGGTCCAGGGACATTGTGTTTCCTGCACAGCACATTAGCATCTTAGTTTCCTCTCTCAACTTCTTACTGGGTTGTTTTTTAAAACCTCAATGACTCGGTATAATTCACCAAGCCTGACTGGGAAGAAGAGTAGGACCTGTGCAAGTAAACAAGAGATTTCAGAGGAAGCCTGCTCTGCCTTAGCATAGTAGGCCTTTGCTATTTTGTGCTTGGATGTTGGCCTTGACCTTCTACCCCAGTGTCCCCCTGTCCCTGCTGTCTGAGGAGCAGTCCTTCAGTCCTTTTTTTTGAGACAGAATCTCGCTCTGCTACCCAGGCTGGAGTGCAGTGGCACAATCTCGGCTCACTACAACCTCCGCCTCCCGGGTTCAAGCAATTCTCCTGCCTCAACCTCCCAAGTAGCTGGGATTACAGGCGTCAGCCACCACGCCTGGCTAATTTTTTTTGTATTTTTAGTGGAGATGGGGGTTTTACCATGGTGGCCAGGCTGGTCTTGAACTCCTGGCCTCAAGTGATCTGCCTGCCTTGGCCTCCCAAAGTGCTAGGATTATAGGCGTGAACCGCTGCATCCGGCCCTGAGGAGTCCATCTAAAACACAAGCCCACCCTGGTGGTTTCCCTGTTTTAAAGCTTCCTGGGACTTTCCCATCCCTCTGGGGGTGTTGGGGAGGGCAAGCTCTTCAGCTGGCAGATGAAGCCTTGCTGTTCTAGTGCCTTCTTGCTTGACCGGTCCCATTTCCTGCCTCAGTCCACAGCATCATTCTGCATTTAGTTTGGTGAATCCCCTGTGCATTCTTAAACCTCTCCACCTTGCTGGCAAGTCGGTCTAGAATCCCTTTCTCAGCCTCTTGTTTGCTCGTGGCCTCCAGTTCTGTCTGGAAAATCCTGCTGATAACACCGTCTCTTTGACGCCTTCACTGAACTTCCCCTTCCTGACAGAGCTAATTACTCACTACCCTTTTCTGCTTCGGTATCTTGATTAGGCTTCCATTATTACAAGTAGATTATGGTAGAGTAATTACACATTTAACCATCTGATCACCAACTAGGCCCTGAAATCCATTCATCTTTTTTTTTTTTTTTTTGAGATGGAGTCTCACTCTGTCGCCCAGGCTGGAGTGCAGTGGCACCATCTCAGCTGACTGTAACCTCCACCTCCCAGGTTCAAGTGATCCTCCCACCTCAGCAGCTGGGATTACAGGCACGCATCACCATGCCCAGCTAATTTTTGTATTTTCAGTAGAGACAGGGTTTCACCATGTTGGCCAGGCTGGTCTCAAATTCCTGACCTCGAGTGATCTGCCCGCCTCGGCCTCCCAAAGCGCTGGGATTACAGGCATGAGCCACCATACCTGGACCATTTATCTTTGTATCACATAGCTCAATGCCCACAATATGCAGGTACTCAACAAATCATGGTCAGAATCAATGTACTTGGATTTCTGGGGCCTCGCAGCTCATGGGAATGGCAGTCAGTGTGAGGACCCAAGTTAGAGGTGGGCAGCCTCCTTCCTGCCGCCTCTTCTCACCATTGCTTTGAGTCCCATTGCTCTCAGCACAGCTGAGTGTCCTGGTGGCTGCCATCATTGACCTTTGTCTTTGGTTGCTGTAAACCTTTGAAGTACTAAGGAGTTGGCAGAATGCAGATGCAGGCCATCCTCGGAGTTGGCAGTGACCGAACGACGCAAGCTTTCTAAGGCTGAGTCATCATCAAGCCTGGCATTTGTTTTGGCCCAGCAGCTGCTGAGACCTTCTCGGCACTGTACCTCCACGCTTCATGTCTGCTTGGGCACCCCTAACAAAACACCATGAACTGGTGGCTTAAATGACAGAAATCTAATTTCTCATGGGTCTGGAGGCTGGAAGTCCAAGACCAAGGTGTCAGCAGGTTTGGTTTCTTGTGAGGCCTCTTTCCTTGGCTTGCAAATGGTTGCCTTCTTGCTGTGTCCCCACGTGATTGTCCCTGAGTCTGTGTGTCCTCTTCTGATAAGGATACCAGTCCTATTGAATTAGGGCTCATCCGTATGACCTTGTTTTACCTTAATCACCTTTAAAGACCCTTTCTCCAAACACAGTCACATTCTGAACTACTGGGGGTTAGGACTTCAGCCTATGAATTTGAGGGGGACACAGTTCAGGCCATCACACTCCTACCCCTTCTTCAGAGGCAGGGGCCGAGGAATCTGGTTGTGCTGCCTGTGACCTTTAATCCTATGTGAGGGCCTTATCCCTGTAGGAAATTGGAGGGTTTGGGTTTTTCTCCTTATATGGGCAATTGTGGATTTAATCCAAGACTCAGACATCTTTGGGCTCTAAGCGTGGCTGCTGCAGTGCTAATGAATGACTCACAGGCAGCACGGTGTCAGGTTGATAAAGGAGGCAGGTATGAGCAGAGGTATTTAAAGCCTGGAAACTAGGAATAACCTTGAAAACAGTCAGTGGGGCCACTGTTAGAGCGGTTTAGAGACAGACCACAGTCCACACCGTGTGGCAGGCGGTGGTCTCACCCACTATATTCAGGGAATCAGGACGAGTCTGAACATAGTGGGCAGTCCAAGGAATTTCCCAGGGTACCTCTGGTCAGACTCAGCTCTGCCTCCTCCCTGCCTTTAAAGCCAGCCACTGCCTAAGATGGGCTGGACCATGTGCCTTTTCTGAGTGAGGGAAGGATTGGGCTCGGTGGGGCTGGCTGAGGTCTGAGCAGGATGCTCGGTCTCTGCTTTGGTGCCGGGTTGTTTA